CTCACATGTGGGGTAGTGTGTTTCCTCACACTAAAGGAAAACACTGCCCTGCCTTTTCTTTCCCCTTTTCAACCCAAATCCATTGCATGGGTTCAGCCTCATGTGGCCACACAAAGAGGTGAATCAGGCAAAAGGAATGGGGAGGGAATGGCATCTCTGCTCTGGATCTGAGCTTGTTGGGAAAGGAGGTGACAGGCAGATGCCTAAATAGGACCATGGCATCACTTCAGCCGTGGGCCTGGACTGGTTTGTAAGAACATGGGCAGGCTTTGGAGAGCAGAAAGGTCCTGTTCCTGACACAGATTAGTGATGACGTCCTCATAGCCATTAACAAGATGCTCATTGTTAAAATGTTTCAATAGTTGGCCTGATTTCTCTCTGGCAATGTCTCCATTGTTCTGTTCAAGCTGAACACACTGAAAAGGGGCTGAAATCGCCCTTCTCCAGTCATGGCATCAGAGGACACTGGGCTGCAACAAACTTTTCTCTTCAGAGGATCCAGTGCTCTCTCATCACAGAAGTGGTGCTGCATTTCCCCAGTGTCAACATATGCCTTCCCTTATGCCAAGTGATTTCTGAGTAGTTCCTGAGGCATTTTCCTGTGGAGAAGGGGAGGATGAAAGGACACTGGTGCAGCCTGTACTGGTACCAGCCCTTGGAAGAGAAACACTTGGAAGACTAACTGCAAACAGGAGGTGGCTGAGCACTGTTTCACCTGGTGTGCAGCACTGGGTGCAACGTGGTTTCCCAAAGCAGTCTGTGTACATGATTCACACCTTCAAGGTTCATTACTGTGACTGGTACAGACACACACTGAGCACATCTTGGCCTGGAAGGATCTTCTGCACTCCCAGACTTGGGAGTGTCCTAAAATGCCAGTGCCAGATCTGGATGAAACGTCTTCTCCTTGTACCAGGGTTCCTGGGAGCCACTGGTGATGGCCCATGCAACACAAGGGGATGGGGGCCTCAATGTCAAATTTGCAGGTTCAGATGTGGATTGCATATCTGGACAAAGGTTTAGCAAGTTCCCCAGGCAGATGTGTAAAAATGTAGTCTACTAATGTGCTTTCCAATAATGTGCTAATATTAAGGACATGCTTAGGTATCTTGCTGAATCAGGAACAAGGGGACAGTAAGTAAGCAATATATGCTAATTGATGTCACCTACACACAGCACAAATCCTGCCGGTGTTATGGAATAATTGATGCATCATGAATGTAGTGGCCTAAGTATCATTCTAAAAAGTGACATCAGATGGTAACAAAATAGACAAGATCTTGCTCAACTGAAATAACTCGAGATGCTTTAAAGATGCTCTTTTTAACAATTGAAGTTGGGTTTGAAGCAATTTTTTCCTCAACATGAACAAAGTTTTAGGAGGGGTCTAATAGATGCAGAGGAAGGAAGGAGAAACAGAAAGGCACAACTTAATCCTTTCTGCTGGGACCAAACATAGAAAAGCAGAAAAGTGCAGTAAGTGGAAGAATCAGTGTGAAGGATGAGGCCAGAAGAGCAAGATGAGAAACTAAGAGCTAAGAAGATGCTGAACAACCCAACGACCCTGAACCAACCCCAGAATGGTCTAACTTGCAGAAGTAAACATCTTTCATTGAACACTGGACATAACAGTTTTCTAGATCTGTGTGTCTGCTTTATTAAGAAAAGAGTACTAGTGTTTACAAAGCTCTGTAAAGCCTGAACCTGTATGAAAGCCTTCAAATCATCCCACCTGTACCCAAACAGCTGAGTTGCAAGCCCAGAGCTCTGGAAGGCCTGCTTCCATCCCAAGGAGCTGGCAGCCAGCACTAGATTGTTTTTAGAGCAAGTAGAATGGATGCACAGTCCCATTTCAGTGACAGACAAAGTGTCCACACTCAGGAAGGGAGTCAGAGGATTAAAGGAAGGGAGAGTGCAGCTGGCTCTCACTAAGGAAAGTTTAAGAGCTTCTAGATTGGGAATCCAAACACAGGAGCCTCAGGACTTTGATAGAAGGAGCTCAAACAAGACTGGACATCAGACAGTTTTTAAGTGCTTGCAGTCAGTCTTCCAAGATGTACCACCTGGTCCTCCTTCCAGCCTTTGAGCTGTTTCTTAGAGGATGGAAAGGATGATAGAGTCATGCAATGGTTTGGGTTGGAAAGCACATTTACACGTCATCTAGTTCCAAGCCCCCTGCAATGAGCAAAGACATCTTCAATGAAGTCAGGTTTCTCAGAGCCCCATCCAACTTGACCTTGAATGTTCCCAGGGATGAGGCATCCACCACCTCTCTGGGTAGCCTATGCCAGTGTCTCAGCATCCTCAGTGTCAATATTGGTATACTGAGGCATTTGTTGCCTTTTATGTGAGTGCAGCTCTGTCCCCTCAGCTGACAGTGACCAGACACTGACACAGGAGCCATGCTATGGAGTAGAAATCTTTCACCAGCTCTGAGTTCATCTGGGAAGAGAAAGGCTGAGTGAAGCCAAAACTTCAGTTCCAGGGTCAAACACATTCTCTCAGAGACAGAATACAGCATCAAGAGACATGTTATTATTACCAGTAAAAACACACAAGAACACTATCAGGAATTACGGTCAGAAGAGACAGGCAAAGGTTTAAATGCAATGAAATAAGTATTTATTCAGACAGTTAAAGTTACACAACTCAGGCTTCTCCAATGCATACATCTACTGAACCAAAGTCTGTTCTCAGCAATGGTGATTTAAATTAGGAATGATTTAATGCAACCACTGGGTTTGTATCAGATTTACAACTGTATAACGATGAGCAGTTTGGCTTATCATGTTCAAAATAATTGCTGGGTGTTTTGAAGGAATAAAAGCAAGTTTTCAGTACCAGGACAGGGGAACAGATCAGAGGAATATTATCCTTCTTCCAAGCAGTACAGTGACCAATCCTGACAGCAATCCCAGTGACTTTAAGCACCTTCACCTCATCTTTCTCCAAATTACACTAACACTTAAATATTTTCCTTCTGGACAAATCAAAAATGATCTTCAGAAGGAAGAATTTCTTGTGTTTCATCTCTCTCACCAAGACAAGTAAAAGCGTGAGAAAATTGGGAAAGATATCATAAATGCCAAAAGTAACTAAGCATCAAAGCTGACAAGGGACAGAGTAGTCTACTGTATAATGAACAGACAGACCTTTAAGGGTCAGCTCACACATAAGAACTTTTATTTATATGCACATATGACAGATTTATAATGACATATTGGATACCTAAGAAATAATACAGCTTGCTTTTGTTATAATAAAAGCTGTTCCCATTCCAACAGCTTTAGCAGGCTGTGGATCAGGATCCTTTATTAGTAAAAAGGCACAGGAATGTTGCATCCCAGTACAGGCTCCACAGAACAAGACCCTCTCTTCTCAGAGAATGCTGTCAAAAATAAACTAGGAAATGATCCCATAAGTGGGCAAGTTTAAGCATCCTGAATGCAACAGCATGTGCTTCTCAACATTTTTGTTTGGAATGCAATGTGGCCCTTATAAAGCCTTAGCTGTATTCTTAGAATCTGCAGATTACCTGCTGGGAATACTGAATAAAACTCAATTTGGATTTTGCTGCAACAGTGTTGTGCAATATAGTACAGACACACATGTCAAAAACAAGCTTTTATGGAGAAGATCAACTGGTTTAGTTCCTGCTCTCCTTGGAGCTTATTTTTTCTGTTTATATGCCTACCCAGTGACAGAGAATTCAGCCTCACAGCACAGTTTGGTAAACTAAGCTCCACCAACACAAAAATAAATGCCCAACTCAGCTGTTGGACTCTCTTTCCATGGGTGTTCTGGCCCAGAGCCACTGTGCAAGTCTAAGGAACAATTTTGTTACTGGACACTGCTGACAGAGCAGTAAATCACTGCAAGTGAATCTTCAGCTGGCCTCGGATTCCCATCAGTTCAAGGCTGAAAACTTCCACTCTGGCATTCAAAGCTGTGCACAGAGCTACAGCTCGAGCAAAAACACTGATAACATTGCCACAATACACGTTTTTAGAGATAATACCCTGCATACACTGGAAATTCCACGCTATAGCTAGAGTTCCCTCAAGTTAGAAATATATTTAGGATGAATACATTACAGTCATTTGCAAACATGCAATGAATTGAGTTTTAAGCACTGTCTTTCCTACGGAAAACACCAGTCACATCTAAAAATACGGTGCAGAGAGCCAGAACAAGCTACCAGGTCAGGCATGAAGTGGGGGGCCCACATTTGGATGAAGTCTAAAGAAACAAAAAAAAATCTGCAAAGGGGTTGTGCATGTAGATTTAAATCCTACAGAGTTAACTGGGCCACCCCCGCTTGGTGTATCCACCCCCAGAAATGTTCTACCACCAAATTTAACTACAATTTCAAGAAAATATTGAGACAGGCTTTAAACATATGGTCCATGAAATAATATATTAATCATACAGCTAAGACATCTCCCCGCTTTACACGGGGTAAAAACATATCTCGCTATACAAAAACATTACTCTGAAAAACAGGCTAAATCTTCAGTACATTCATCAACTACTTTTACAGTCAGGAATTCCATGGCCTTAATCGGCTAATAATTAAACTTAAAAAAAAATTTAAAAAAAGGAAAAAAAAGGAAAGAAAAAACAGCCACATAAAAAAGCAGTAGATTAGCATGAAAAAATCTGTTCAGAAGAGTTTGCAAAAACTCATGCAAAGTTATATTAACAACTATCTGATTAATTCTGGTGGGTCTTTAGGCGCCTGCAAATGTTTCAAGTGATTGTATAAAACAGAACTGTGACAACTCAAATTCACAGGCAAGCTCTAGGCAACCCAAAAGTTGGCTTATTTTTTCTCTCAAGGACAAAGCTCTTTAGCTCTTCCTCACCGTCTTTCCTTTCTAGTTCACAGATCTGCCAAACTAAAGGCAGTGAATTCACCAGGAGCAAGTGGCACTGGGCTCAGGGGAGGGAGAGAACTGGAGGCACATTTGCTATTCTTACTTTCAGTAACACACTAAAGAGCACCACAACTGCTATTTATTACCAAAGACACCAAATACTCAGCAAGCAAGTGAACAAGAACAAGCAAGTGAACAAAATCTAAGAGACATCCACGCTTCAAGGGTACATGCCATGGGTCCAGAACAAGCCAGGAGGAATTTCATACAGATACACAAATCTTACCGAAAAATTCTAAATTATTATTATTATTATTATTATTATTATTATTATTCAAGTTGGAATTGAGACCTTCAAACACATGGTTAAATTCAGTCCTCAAGACCCTTTCAAACCACTGACATCAATGGAGTATATTAAAGTATAATGCATATATTAGCAATTTCAAAGGCTTTTTGGAAACAGAGGAAAACTCCAGCACAGTTATAATCTCTCTCTCCCTCTCTCTGAAATTAGCAAAGGCAGCTGCCCAAATGACTATCAGCCAATTCAGAAAGTGTTCAGCTGTTCCTCCAAAGTGGAGTCTGTGGCCTGAGGTTGGACAGAAACAAGCTGGGGTCAAGCAGAAGCTGTGCCAAGCATTGCTGTGCGCTGTGGTTAATCAAGTAGCACACAGTACATTTACAGCTTCGTTGGGACCACAGGCTCCGTAGCACGGATGTGGACACTGGGAAGACAGAGCCAGGAGAGAGGCAGCTCCCTGCTGCAGTTGTCTTCATGGAATTTGATATTCAGGTAGAAATCACCTGTGTAGAGAAAGAGAAGTGCTCCAAAGTACACAGAGTCTTTGGTCGGCTTTACCTGGAAATGAGAACGTAAAAATCAGTATAAATAAACCAACAACAAAGTAAATTTAATTGCAGTTCAGTAGCTCCTTCAAATGATCTCCAAGTATTCTAGATTCACATCTTGATGTTGCTTTCATACAAAAAGGAGTAAAGATCTTGTCCCTATTCTAGCAAAACTGTTGCACTGAAAATTAAATCCTGTATTTTTCACTCATGCAGTAAAGATGTGGCACAGCTCAAACCACAGTACAGGCTTTCAGGAGTCACTGATTCCAAAACAGAGTTAGTTTAAAGTAGAGATCACACCAAATCTTTCCTTTCACTGCATTTATCAACATGTCTATTAAAGGTCTAAATCATGTATCTGAATTAATTTTAAATATATGGTTAAACACCACTTAAAAACTTATCAATAACTAAGTTCATCCTCAATTATTATTGACATAATCTGACTGCAAATTCTAATCTTTAATATTAGGAATTTAGGAATCTTTAATATTCACAATCATTAAAATAATGAAGTTTAGCAAGAAAAAAGAAGTAGGTACCCTGATTTAACTTGTCCAAATAAAATACAGAGTACACAATGTTTCTACATTTACATATCTCCCTCCAACGAAAAAAAATTTACAGTCTATATCTTCACAACGAGTAATATATCTTAGTTCATCATTTCAGCAAGACACTTCAGTCATTTCTAACTTTAACACTCCCACGACTGTTTAGCATGTGATAATGTTTGAATTAATATCTGCTCCCAAAAGATGTTAAAGCCAGTTTCAGGGTGCCTGTAATTGGATTAAAGTTACTGCAGATGCAAAACGCGAAATCAACAACAAAGCCATTCCACTGGATGTATTTTTTCAAAAAATTGTGAAAAGGTAACTTAACCCCAGCAGAAAAGACCCAAAAAAGGACACCTGATCTCCTCAGTACTGGTCTTCCCTCAGCCAAAGCCATCTTTACCAGTTCCTTTCTTCTCTCTGGACTCTGAAACCATCAACCTAAGATACACTCATGGAGTCATCCCTACTTTCACTGGTAGAGCTATGCCCACGTATTTTCTTTTCACTTGAACACCCAGTGGCAATGGACCTTTCTTTGGTCATCCCCAAACACCTCAGTGTCCATCACATTACAGAGTCCAGCATTGATTCCAAATTGATAGCAGGACGCACCACTGGTCAGACAAGCAGACACCCAAGCCCAACCACAACAGAAACTCTGGTGTTGGATCCAGAAGCACTGAGCTGTCCAAATATGCTGGACTTGGTTGGGTTCAGGAGGGAATAATGTCCCCTTTGCCAGAGGCATCCCCAGAAACTGATGGGACATCACCACCTGCGTTAGTGAAGGGATGAGACCAAGGCTCCAAGGTTATCAGGACTGTTGCCCACTATAAAAAATTTGGTCATCTGGTAAACTGGGACACCAACCATGGGGTATTAACTGGGAAAGTGTCTGTGGACTCACTTTGCTGAAGGGCAACTTGCCATTGCATAGGAAGACCTGAACAAGGATGATGAGTAGGCTGAGAAAGTTGGGGCTGTTCAACCTGGAGAAGAGAAGGCTGAGTGGAGACCTCACAGCAGTATTCCAGTATCTGAATGGGGTCTACAAGGAAGCTGGAGACTCTTTATCAGGAACTGTAGTGATAGGACAATAGGGTGCAGGACTCTCACCGCTGCGACCCGGGTTCGATTCCCAGCCCCCTGGGCAGATGGAGCTCGTCAGCCCTGTGTGGCAATCCATCTAAGAGAAGGTCACTCTAAACAAACCTACGTTCTGAGACCCTCACTGCCACTGTCCAAG